TGTTGAACTCTAGTGACACTAATGTATCCCGCTGGCTCACCTCATATCGCGCCAGACTTCGCTTCTTTCACTGTAAATCAACTGGCGCGGCATTCTTTTTATTCTGTTGTAGAAGTCCATTCTCTTTTCTACGCTAGGTTATCCAAACAGTCTCTTGAAGTATATGTTCCGAGAAGGTTAAGACATTTGAAAAACATCTAATTTTAAAAGAGGACCCATGATAGGCCTCAAGTTTTATATCTGGATGTTACCGTACTAATCTTTTTTGCACAACAAACCGTTTTGCCGTATAAACAAGTATTTTAGTTTTCGTTGTGGGCTGATGCAGTGATTTTCGTGTACAGTGTTGACAACCAGGAAAGCTTTGAAAGAGTTCGACACTTCTATAGTCATATGAACAAATTTCGAAACGTTGCCGATATGCCTGTCTTGCTGGTTGGTACAAAGGTATGGTTCCCTGATCTTCCATATTTAATCTCTATTGCATTTTCATATTTAAAATCTGAAACTCTTCACCTTTTTCTCTTTTTTCCTTGCAATTTTTCAATTTTCTATCAGTTGATAGATTTCCATAAGTAGTTTCTCTACTTTTTAGTCATTTCAGTCTAATGCTATGCATTATAGGATACTTTGTCCGAGAAGAATCCTCGCGTAATTAGCGAAGAAGAGGGCAAGCAGATGGCAAATCACTTGAAACGTTGCGCCTACTATGAAACATGTGCAACCTATGGATTAAATGTAGAACGTGTCTTCAAAGATGGTAGGTTATGTTCATTATAGCTACCTGAGAATTAGGCAATTATTAGAAAACGTCTTTGGAGCCACTGGGTTCCATGCTTCCGGTACTGTCACTACTTGCGCTTTCACATGGTAGATTAAACATGCTTTTGTTTTTGGGCTAAATTGCATAAGTTGTGGAACAAAAAATGTCAAAAGTGCAAGTAAGCTTCCGACTTTGATTTTTATGCTATCGCTCTTTTGGAATGTTCAAGATCCCATGTTTCTACATAGCAATGAAATTCAAAGACAACAAGGCAGAAACAGTCAGGTATATATGAAAAAATTGGCACTAGTGATGCCGTAACTCCGCCGTTTTCAAAATATTATCGAGATAATATTGTTTTTCTGGTTTTCCCAATTAAGGAGAATCTTGAACATGGTTCTACGGATTAGTTACAAAACTGTATTTGTTTCGCATGACGTTGTTATTTGTTCTCGTTTCTAATTAACCTCGGTTACATACCTGATTGAACATACAGGTTTTGTGTTTATAGACGTTCTCACATTAGACTTTCGAATTGCTCTCTATTGTTCTGTTCTTCATTCTACGCCATTACCATGTACGGTTTCCATAAGTTTCATGTGAAAAGTATGGATAAGAGCTGAATGTGCATTTCGTCAAGGTTCATCCATCTTTCATTTCAGACTTCTATCCATCATCTGGGCAAACGGGGTTCTTGTATTAAAACACGAACTGCCATTCTAGTTGTCACAAAATGTTATGACGTAAGAATTGCATATACTCAAATAGGAGCCTAATGCGTATTTCGTCAGCGCTTAGCATTTGATATGCTTTTAATGCTGGCATTAGGTGATATTCAATGACACAAACATGAAATCATTGACTTCAGCCTTTTTTGATTCTCGAAAGGATTCTGTGCAGCCAATTTAGTTTACATTGTTTTTTTTTGCCTTTTCCTTCTACTCGCGAGAAATTGCTTGAACAAAGAATGTTGAAATTTTGATTCCTGCATCTTCGTTATTTGACGTAAAAAGATCTGAGTTGTGTAGCATACATCTCCTTTCCTCTCTACCAATACTCGTCTTGACTAATTCAACTTGAAAAAGTGTTTTCCGACTTCTTATACCGTATGAGTCATTCCTGCGGTGACTTTTCAGTTGCCAGGAAGCACATACAAAGGATGCCACGTTTTCATGTTCTGCACTGTTATATTCTGCTGCGCATGCCCTGACATTTCGTTTTGTTTTACCTCATAATCACTGTTTTACATCTCCATTAAAGACCTAAACTGGTTTGTAGGGCGTTGTGTATTTCGCTCATTCATAACGGCAACTTTTTTTCTGCGTTTCTTGTGAAATCATCTGCGTACAAATAACGTCATCTGCATACAAATAGCTTACACCTGTTTGTCGCTAATGACGGGTGGATGTTCATAAGTTTGTCATTCTTTAGAACATGATGCGACAATGTGAGTCAGCCGTAGATGGTATCTCTTTGGTTATGAAACTGCTCATCATGTTTTGCTAAAATATGAGTGTCTTCTGCTCTTATATCACCACTTAATGGCAACGCGAGAGA